GACCTCCTGCGTCAGTTAGCTGTCAAGATAACCTTTCTTGGACATGCCCAGATGCCAGTCTGGCTAGGCAGTTCCTCAGTTGAGGCTTTCCTGGGAGGTGACTCTAGGCTGTGTCAAATGGACAGTTTAAGCTAATGAGTGAAAGCTGCTAACCCTGGGTCAGGGTTGGTTTTTTTTTTTTTTTTTTTTTGGTTTTTACGAGACAGGGTTTCTCTGTATTGTTTTGGAGGCTGTCAGTCCAGCCTGGCCTCGAACTCACAAAGATCCGCCTGCCTCTGCCTCCCGAGTGCTGGGATTAAAGGCGCTCAGGGTTGGTTTATTATTTGTGACAGTTGTTCTGGGACAGCTGGATGATGAATCTCAACTGCCTACTCCTGTGGATTAGAACACACACACACACACACACACACACACACACACACACACACACACACAAAACATTTTTAAGGAAACTGACACTGAAGATGAGCACCAAAAGAGCTGGGCTGCTGTTGACTGTCCTAACACTGTTTTTCAAGCCTTTAGAATGGAGAGTATGCAAATGTTGAGGTCGGCTTGGAAACTGGATTAATGGCCTATTCTGCTGGGAGCTCAGAAAACCAGAATGCCAGTAGGAATTGAATTTGAATCCATACTACATTCCAGCAAAGAACTTGTCTCTACCTTTCTATGCTCTAAAAACTGGAAGCCTGGTGGAGGAAATTTCAAGGCATCACAGTGTTCAGCTGTGGCACAGATATTACTTGCTGCTTTTAAAAATTTATAATTAGAATTTGAGCAAAAAGCAGAGCAGAGATTTGAATGACTCTCAGTCTGCCCAGAAGAGACATTGTCATAAAGGTGGAAACAAAGAATGTGTGACTGCTATGCAGCCCTGGCTGTCCTGGAACTCGCTCTGTAGACCAGGCTGTCCTTGAATTCACAGAGATCCGCCTGCCTCTGCCTCCCATGTGCTGGGATTATAGCTGCATAATACCATGCCCAGCTTGTTTTTAAATTTTACAGGCAGCACCCATAGTTGAGTTTGCCTTGAGTCTGGGAAGAAACTTAGTCTTGGGCTTTAAGCAATTAATTTGAGCCTTTTAGAGGTCAAGGATAGGATGTTACGGTTTTTAGGAGGGGTGTTTATGTGTCAGGTTGACAAGAGGTGGACTTGTGATTCATCTTAGTTTAATTTTTATTTATCGTGTGTGCATGAGGTGGAGCAAGGAGCATATACTTTGTGTGTGTGTATGTGTGTGTGTCTGAGTATGTGTGCGTGAGTGCATTGTGTGTGTGTGTAAATCAGAGAACAACTTTGAGGACTTGGTTCCCTTCTTCCACCTGTATGTGGGTTCCAGGCATCAAATTCAGGTCATGGGGCTTTGGTGGCAAACTCCTTGACTGTTGAGCCCTGTGATTATTAATTCTCAACTTTACTAGCCATGAGCACCTGAGTTAATGTAGCATACAAAATTTACAGAATTTTTTCAAAAAATTATTTTGGCCAGGCTGTGGTGGCACATGCCTTTAATCCCAGCACTCAGGAGACAGAGGCAGGCAGATCTCTGTGAGTTTGAGGCCAGCCTAGTCTACAGAGAGAGTTCCAGGACAGCCTCCAGAGCCACAGAGAAAAAAAATTAAGTTTGAACAATCCTACTCCATAGTTTTTCCACATTTTTATTTTATTCAATGAGATATAGGCATGTACTGTATGTACAGTTCTTAGGAAAATCCTGTTTTGTCCCCTAGGTTTTGGTGGGGATGCTGGTGATCTAACACAGGGCCTTGTACATGAGAAACAAACATTCTACTGCTCATCTCCACTCTAACCCAAAAGTCTTGATTTAACTGTTGTAAATTTTGGAGTTGTATTTTATTGTTGTTAGTGTCTATCTCAGTTTCATTCATCCGAATTCTGAAAGCGTAGATATTTAGCAGGCAGCTGTAACTTGGGTGCTGGGTGAGTGTACTAGACTGAATCGCTCTCACCCACAGAGAAGAAACCGGTACTAACAGTGATGGCATGGTGGAAATGGAATGGAGGAACTGCCGCTGGGAGGACCAGCCTTTAGCAGCTCGGGAATTGAGGGGGAGCCACGCACAGAGTCAGAGGACTGCTTGCTCAGTTTGACTTTCTTATCTGAGGGGGTAAAACTTAATTCTCAGGGGCTGGCGAGTGGGACAAAATTTAACTCTCTGGGGCCAGCAAAAAGGGAAACCACACACACACACACATTCTCTCTCTCTCTCTCTCTCTCTCTCTCTCTCTCTCTCTCTCTCTCTTTCAGGGTCTCTATTATCTCTCTCTCTCTCTCTATTTCTTTTCTTACCTCTATTCAGATGTATCCCTTCTGTGTGTTCTTAATTTTTTCTTTACAGCTTATATACCCCAGCAAAATCTTTCAGGTAGCATAGAAATTACAATGTGGTTACAATCTATTTTTTAAGTGAATGATTACAATGAATACAAGTAAAAAACAACACCTTCCATATTCCTTACATGATTAAACATTTTACATATTATAGGTGAAAAACAAATTATATCCAAGAACCCATATACATTCATGTCCAACCAACTTTTTATAGATTAACAGGATATAAGCAAGCAAGGTATATTTGTCAGCCAGTTCTATAACTGGCAGGCTTCATTTTGCGGTTACAAAGAAAGGATCAATCACTTTATTATTACCTCAAAAGGTAGTCATATAAAAAACCTTAAAAGAATCACAAATCTAAGCTTTCATATATGAAAAGCAATCAGTCAGCTCTACTTTGAATCCACAGGGTACACACCCATTCATCAACAGTCTTTATATCAGGAAGGCGAGGGCAGAAATGGATACAAGGAATTAATTATTACTTTTGATCGCCAACCCATCTATAGCAAGAAAGACACGTCAACTGATAATAACCGGGCTGTCTTTGTCCTAATTTCATGACCTCAGTAAGTCCCTCATCCAACCATTACAAGTGTGCCTTTCGAAACTTCATAGATTGCTCCCCAAGATTTTATACCTCAGCCATTAACAAGACCACCCTAGCCTAACCTTACTAACAATCTACAAGTCTCAAATTCTTTCTAAGGATGGTGGTTGAATCATTAGTCTGCTCCTGCAACAAGGCTTGGAAAAAGTCAGTCAGTATTGTTGTAAGCACCAGTAACACTGCCCAGTGAGGGGATGGAAGCCCCTGAGAGTTTTCATACAACTGTACGTGATGAGGGACGTGGCGACCTTGAAGAATCAGAGCCATGCTCAATAACAGCATGGGGTCCTCAGGGCTCTGCACCCCCAAGGCTCACTCAGGCTTGACTTTGCCAACCACCCAGCTGCGTTCCATGAGTTCCAGTGCTGCCTACTGGTCCTCTTGTATGGCCCGCCTCACAGAACCTTCCTGGCTTCTAACCTAGCACTTCCAGGGTTGCCGTTGTTCTTGGGAGGGACCCCATTTGTGTGGTAAATATTTCAAGAAGAAACAGCAACACCCTGACTCACTTATTCTGAGCCCCCATAAACCCACACCTGGTCCTGGGTGGCGTGATTGACAGTGTGAGGATGGCAGACAGTCACTGTGCTGTTCCCTGTGGAGTGCCACAGTCTCAGCCCCTGACACACTGGAGCTGTGGGGACAGATTGCATGATGTGTGCACATCCTTTTCCTAACCCTGTCCTCCTGTTTCACCCCGAGTGTTTGGTAGTCATGGCAGAAAAAACTGCAGGTAATGCCCCAGGAACAACCCTTGACCACTAAGGCATATGGATACTATCTCCTGCAGGAAGCTATATCTGTACCCAGCCTGCTGGAGCATCTTCCCGTCACATCTTTGCCTCCAGTTATGTGGAACTGTAACCTGCTCATGGGTGCAGCCTTACTCTGAGGTTCTTTTCTTTTTCCCTCCCCTGTCTCACTTACCCCATGGTCTTATGCCAGCTTTAGGAAGAACATACACTAAACCACATGCAGTGGGTGTCTGTAAGCTGAGTTAATTAATAATTAGTTGAGTAACAGTCTGATCATTCAAAGAAATTGCCCAGGAAGGACATTAGAGTTTAGAATGTACAGTCAGTGTTAACAAGATAGAAAGTGAAAGTTGATTAGAAAAATAGACCATTGCCTGCAGAGGAAGAAGCCATTGAGACCTGGCTCAGGGCAGGGTAAGGGTGGAGCACCCACTGTGTGATCTTATGGGCTGTCACATTTCCTTTGAGAAAAGCCGATGACACCTCTTGCCCATGTGTCTCTACAGCCACGCTGGGCCCTGCCTGCTTTCTGGAGGCAGTAAGGGGTAGTGATAGGGAAAAGGGAGTGGGAATCGGCCACATCAAAGGACGAGGAGATGCCATAAGGAGATGTGTTCCTTTGAGTGCTAATTTTTAAAATAAGGTAGTTTTTTTTTTGTGTTGAGTGTTTTACCTTCATGTATATATGTCGAGCAAGGGTGTCAGATCTCCAGGAACTAGAGATAAGAATGGTTGTGAGACACCAATTGGGTGCTAGGAACGAAACCCAGGTCCTCTGCAAGAGCAACAAGAGTTGTTAACTGCTCAGAGCTGGAAGGCAAGCTTGCCTTCCACACAGCATTAGCTCTGTTGGGGAACTCACTCCACACCCAGAGCACACACAGCAGGAACCATGGAGGAGGATGCTTGATCGCTGGCTTGCAGAATGGCTTATACTCAGCTAGCTTACTTAAACAGTTCAGGACCTGGGAATGGTGGTTTATTTGTGACTTTTTATATTAGTTTCTTTTAGATACAGGACTTTCCCAACCAAGTTCTTTACGTTTTCCTAAGTAGAAAATCTTATCATCTGCAAACTGTTTGGGGGATTTCTTTTCAATCTGTAGGTCTCTCTCATCTTGTTCTATTATGCCAACTGGAACTTCCAGAACTATCCTGGACAGAATCAGCAAGAGTGGATGCCCTCTTCTCATGGAGTATTAGCAGCGGGTCTTCTGCATATGCATTCTCTGTCAGGGAGTTGTTTATTATAACTAACCCATTGCCTTTTCTTTTTAGCAGAAGACTCAGAAAGTGGTGTTTATATACGATTCATGAGGTCACACAAGTGTTATGACATCGTTCCAACTAGTTCAAAGCTTGTTGTCTTCGACACCACATTGCAAGTGAGTATATAGGGCTCCTGTGAGCTCCTAATAGTTTGTGGGGGCAGCTGCTTGCATGGATTCAAGCCAGCAATGGCGACAGGTCTTTGCTGAGCTCTTCACAAGAACCAGACCTTGGCCGGAGGTTTTTGTCTGTATCCCCATTGTAACCTCATAAGGAGCATGCTATTGCTAAACTCATTCTACTGATACAAAGTTTAATCCACAAACTCCTCATCCCCCAACTAGTGTGGTAAAGTGTGGAATTGGAACCAAGGTTTGTCTGCCGTGGGTTGGAGCTTAAGCCTGTGTGTACTAAACTGCCCCCCCCATTGGTGCCTGGCTGTTTTTCTTAGTTATTAAGTAAATTTATGATTAATATTAGAAAAGATGTTTGAGGTAGATAATGTCTTGAAAGAGAACTTTATTGGTCTATTCCAGCAGGAAATTTTAACCTGATTATTTTGCTATTAAAATTGTGTTTATTGGAGCTTTTTTTTATCAATATGGCTATAGTTACATGTGAAAGTTCTAATTTATTGCTGTCTAATGCTAACAGCAACCAGTCATTTAGAGCTCATTTATATGTTCCAAATATACATTCTATATTTATATGTTCAGTGTAGTAATCAAGTTACATCCAGTGCATAAAATGTATAAATGTATAAGATACCCATGCACACAGATACACCACATCACCAAGTAAGATTATTCTCACTTGTGTTCCAAGAAGTAGATACTGAGCCAAGAACTTGTGCACAAGTGGCTATTGACAGATATGCTCCCAGGGGAAAAAAAAAAAAAACCCAAAGGTATGGGAAAAGAGACTGGGCCCCAGAAGCCACCAAGGGTGTGATTTCAACAACAGCCTGCTGGGGGCAGCCTCAGCCTAAGCCCCAATGGAACCCTGAGCTCCCAAGTTTCTCTCAGCCTCTGTGTTCTGCATCCAGTGCTGCCCCCAGAGGCTCTCAGGCTCCTCCCGCTTTACCCTGCTGCCTCTCACCTACTGCCACTGTCTTTGTCCCCTTACACCTTGGAGGAAACGCCAGGCTCTTGGAGCCATTCTTCCTGTCTTCTGTCCCTGCCACGTGGGACCAACAGGAAGACAGAAGTGGCTTTTTGCTTTTGCTTAACTGCATTTGCAATTTCTTTTTGTAAATTTATGGGAATACAATTTGTTTTGTAATTGAGCTTTAAGACCTGAGAGCTGGTAGATTCTCATTGAACCCATAACCCTCACGCTTCCTTTTAATCCCTTTAAGCCCCTAGGATTCCCTGATTCTTAGTCCTAGGACAGAATGCAGACACATGACTAGGGAAGTGGACATTAAAAAAAGTCACTTCTAAGAAACATCTCTACAGTATTGCTACAGATTTCAGTATTTAAATAACTAGATGCTCTGCAGGGTGGCACTGATGCATACCTTTAATCCCAGCACTCAGGAGGCGGAGTTCAAGGCCAGCCTGGTCTACTAAGCAAGTTCCAGGGCAGCCAGGGCTACACAGAGAAATTCTTGTCTTTAAAAATTAAAAAGAAAAATAGGCATTCCAGTGCACAAAATAAACTGCTGGCCCAGCCCGTTGCACCTTGCCCTTGCCTCCCGACTTATCCTTTCTGGAGCTGCAGCTCTCCACCCTTCAATTTGCATAGCACCAGTCGCTGTTTACCCAGATTTTGTTGTGCCCTGGGACTGACACTCTTTGGAATTAAGAATTTACCCAGGATGAGTAATGTGTGAAAAATGTAATGCTTTCTGGATGCCCAAGGTCAATAATTCAGCAAATATCGTTTCTGCAGTTAACCAAAGCCATGTGCTTCCCAGAAGTCACTAACCCTGTAGTGTCTGAGCTGGGGGGGGGGGGAGCTGGAGCGCATGAACAGGGATACACAGCGTGTTGGTGTTGGTTAGGGCAAAGGGAGAAATGATAAACACACCAGAGCGGCAGAGCAGCCTGAATGCCTTTTCCCAGAGCTCTGTTGAGTGAGTGACTGCTAAAACAGGCGTGTCACAGAATACCGTAATGTGACCATTAAGAAGCAGGAAAGAGCAGGTCAGAGTGGTACATGCCTGTAATCCCAGCACTTGGGAGATACTGGCAGAAGGATCAAGGGCTCAAGGTCATCCACAGCTACATGTTAAGTCAGAGGCTAGCCTGCGCTACTTGAGAGAAGAAGCGTGTAGTCAGGCTTTTCTTTGGGCCACCAGCTCACAAAAAAAAAAAATGACACAGAGACATATCAATTATGAAAGCTTGGCCTTAGCTTAGACTTGTTTCTAACCAGCTCTAATAACTTAACCCATTTCTAGTAATTTCCTTTCTGCCTTGTGGCTTTATTACCTCATCTTTGTACTGCCCATCCTGCTTGTTCTGTGTCTCCTGGCATCTCCACCTTCTTCCCTGCGTCCTCTCCACCCAGAAATCCTGCCTGGTTATTGGCCATTCAGCTTTGTATTAAACCAGTCAGAGTGACACATCTTCACAGTGTGCAGAAAGGTTATTCCACAGCAAAGGAGAGAGGAGGAAGGAAGAAGTTTGTTGAAAAATTATGTTTGCTCTGTTTCTAAAGGGTATAGAACAGCATGTGTGATAACCACAGTACTCCAAGACTGACAGATCTGGTAAGTCAAAGTTAGCCATTTCCAAGGAGACTGCAAGGGAGACTAGAGCTCTGAGGCCAGAGGACATCACTGACAAGCAAGAGCAGAGTGGAACTGGAAACCTGTGTCATCCTGAAACTAAGGAGGAAGCACCTTCTTGCTGAAGGCTCTCCAGCCTGGGTCTAGGGAGACCCACTCAACCACCTACAAAACCCCCTAAGTTTAATACTGTCATGAACTGGAGGCTCCAAGCCTCCCCTTTCATCTCTCAGGCCCAAGGAAGTGGAAATCAAGTATCGTGTGGGATAGCGCCTGCTAACAAGCAGTAGAGAGCCACCATGCACACCAGCTGCTGGCTCGGGGTTGGGGAAATGCTGAGGTCAAGCCACATGGTCTTTTGTCATCCCATGGGTTAGCTGTTGAGTCACTGTCAAGGCCCAGCAGTGAGCTGGGAATGATTTCCCAAATGGGAAGAATTGTCACAGGGGACAAGGCTGCGTCAGGGTTTTTTCCGGTGTGGATTTCTTCCTGATTGTGCAGCTTTCTAAGCACTGACCTTGCATGGCACATGTAAATGTCTACTGAAGCCTCCGGAAGTCACTCAGTCCTGCGGTAGCAGGTAGTGTCCTTCCGCAGGAACACCAACCTCTGCTTGTCCCCAGGGATGCTCTTCTCGTGTGATTTGCTAACCTGGTAGCCAGGAATTCCAGAAGCTTCCTTTTCAGCTGAAGTCTATAAGCCCTGGAGAGCTTCTGCATGGTGTTAGGATCACACACTCAGGAACAGAGGAGACAGCCACAGCCGGCAGCCCTACTGTACTTTAGGTGACCCAAGCTGAAGCTGGCATACTACCTGCTACCTGATATCCAGAGCCCCCACCCTGACTGGAGGACTGGAGTGGCATTTTATGGTCAGAATCAATGTCCAGTTCCTTGTGTCCCTGTTTGCAGTTCCCATGGGGAGGGCACCAAGCAGGGAACTCTGTATGAAAGTGGCCACAACCCTGGCCCTGGCCACAACCAGCAGGAGGACGGGATGCCCATTATTTGATGACTCCAGTCCAGCTTTTGGCCACTGTAGAGTTCTTGTTAAGTAGCTAAAATAAACTGAGAAAGTTGGGTTAGTTTCATTCCTGGGGATACTAACCAGTTAGCTGCCACCAAAGATCGCTGTGGAGGCAGATCATTCTAATTGCAGCTCCTACACTGGCTCTCTGCCTTGGGTGTTGAACATGCAAATTGCCCTGGAGAGGTGGGGTCAGCCAGTGGTCCTGTCTTCATTGTCCTACAGGAGTAAGGGCATCTCGCTTAACATGCCCTGAACTTAGTCAGGCATCCACTAAACAGCTCGAGTCTCTTCCCGCTGTTCAGGCAAAGCATTAAATGAGTCCACCAGTAGCAATGTGTTCCACTGACTGAGTGTCCGATTGCTTTTGACCTGTTCTCACACATTCTTTCCACGTTTCTACAGATGTAAGATAGCAAGATGTTACAGTTCATTCTGTGTGGAAGCTATTTCCTGCTGTAGGAAACGGACATGGTGAAACCTATCCCTAACAAGAAGGTGACAAGGCTAACTGGGATTCCCTTGAGAATAGTGAGTGGCCTGTATCATGTTCACCCAAGAAAGCTTGTCATGGGGTTTCTAGAAAAGAAAGGTGATTCTTATACAGTGACAAGATGGAGTTTCTGTCCCTCCAAGTCCCGCAACCTTTAGTCCCAAGTAAATACACAGAGGCTTATATAATTATAAACTGTTTGGCCAGTGGATCAGGCTTCTTACTGGCTAGCTCTCTCTTAATTATGAACCCATTTCTATTAAACTATGTATTGCCATGAGGCCGTGGTTTACCTGTAATCCCGCATGTTACTTCTTTGGCAGCTACAAGGCATCTATCTCCTTGTGACTCCTCTCTGCCTCTTCTCCCCAGAATTCTCCTCGTCTGATAGCTCCGCCTATACTGCCTGCCTGGCTACTGGCCAATCAGTGTTTTATTCATCAACCAATAAGACAAACATATATACAGAAGGACATCCCCCATCATGAAAGAAAGGTCAAGATTCCAGAATGTGGTGGTCAAACCTATAGTCCCAGCACTCAGGAGACAGATACAGGAGAGTTGCTGCAAGTTTGGTTCAGCCTGGTCTGAGTGCTTGGCCAGCCAGGGCTACATAGCAAGACCCATCTTAAAAGGGTGGGGGGAGTGTTTAAATACACAGACACACACACTCACACAGGGAGATATCATCAGAGTAAAATAGAAGGCTGTAGCAAGAAGAGGGATGCACCAGATGACTTTAATTGAGATAAAAATTACTATGCACAAGAAAAATAGGGAACTCAGTCTTCTCAAGGCAAGAAGGAAAGGGAGAACTGGCCCTTTGCTCAAGACTAGTGCCCTGCTGTGGCTGGGCACAGTGGGACCTTCCTCCTCAGCCTGTGCTGCTTTCGTTGTCAGGGAAAATCACACGAGCTGGAAAGGGTGACATAGGTAACAAGTAGAGAAAGATCACTTAGAGATCTCAAAATGCCTGAACAAAACTGAGTCTGATCTCTGTCCCGATGCATCACATCCTGATGCATAAGATGGTGGAGATGACCAGGCCCTCTGTGGTTGTTGGAGGCCCTTAGAGAACAGGAAAGGAAAAGGAGGGGACTCCCCCAGCATCATGAATGGAACCTCTCACACATGTGCGCACACACAAAAGAACAGTGCCTGAGCCAAGTGTGATCATGCATGCCTGTAATCCCAGCATTTGCCAAGTTGAGGCAGGAGGATCAGAAGTTCGAGCCAGGACTACAAAACCCTGTCTTTAAAACAAACAAGCATGAACTAGTGCTACTCAGTTTCCTCTTCCATGGCTAATTTCAGGACCTGGGGACGCTTCTAACTGAAGCACTTAGGAGCAGGGGTTTTAGGCAGATTGATCAGAGGAGTCTCCATGTGAAAGCAAGAATTGCTTCGTGCCTTTAAGTGGTCAAAATATGTGAATATTGATATAAAACCCCACCAACTGGCTCAGTGGCTCAGAGCACTTGCTGCTGTTGCAGAGGATCCAGGTTCGGGTCCCAGTACCCACACAGCAGCTCACAACCACCTGCAATTCCAGTTCCAAGAGAGCCAACACCTTTCGACCTGTGCACATGTGTACATGCAGCAGACCACTACACATGCAGTGCACACACAAACATGCAGGCAGACCACTACACACACACAGTGCACACACATACATGCAGGCAAACCACAAATACATAATTTTTAGAAAAAAAATAGTTTTCTGCTGGGTGAATGTTTTTCCAGTTTTTAATGTCAAACATAATACCACATTGAACATCTTTGATTCAAAGAATCCCAGTCCCAAAAATAATTCAATAGAAACAAGCTATAGTACAAATAGTAGGCGTGGTTTTGTGATTCTCTATGTAAGCTGTACGTACACTCTGTCTTAGTGTTGCTGTTGCTGTGATGAACACCATGACCAAAAGCAACTGGGGGGAAGGGTTTATTTCTGTCACAGTACCATATAACAGCCCATTTTTGAAAGCAGGGAGGACAGGAGCTCACACAGAGCAGGAACCTGAGGCAGGAGCTGATGCAGAGTCCCTGAAGAAGTGCTGTTTACTGGCTTGTTCTGCATGCTTTTCTTTAGAACCCGGAACCACCAGTATAGGGATGAATGTCTCCACCCACAGTGGGCTGGACCCTCCCCATTAATCACTAATTAAGAAAATTCCCTATAGGCTTGCCTACAGACAGCCTGTTCTTTCCTTTTTTAATATTTATTTATTACAGTGTTCTGTCTGCATATATGCCTGCAGGCCAGAAGAGGGCGCCAGATCTCATTACAGATGGTTGTGAGCCACCATCTGGTTGCTGGGAATTGAACTCAGGACCTCTGGAAGAGCAGCCAGTGCTCTTAACCTCTGACCCATCTCCCCAGCCCAGGAGGCATTTTCTTACTTAAGTTTTATTCTCTCAGATGACTTTTTCTTAGCTTGTGTCAGGTTGACATAAAACTATCTAGCACACACACATTACTTAAAATAGTGCTGGTGGGCCAGCAAGGTGCTCACCACCACGCCCAATAATAACCAGAGTTCAATCCTCAGGACTCATGTGGTAAGAGAGACCTGACTGCCACAGTTGTCCTCTGACCTCCACGTGAGCACTGTGGCATGAACTGTCCACACACACACACACACACACACACTAAATGAGTGTAGTAAAATAATTCTCATATCAGGTGAGATTTAAAAGCAAAAGTTAGTTTAACTGAGACAATACCCCAGGTAAACAGCTTCAAAGGGAAGAGCTTGGTTATTGCAGTTCCCCAGGTTGCCACCCATGGTCACTCAGGTTGGGACAGTGGCGGTGTGGTGTGAGCAGTGGAGGAGGAGGCCTGTTCACCCGAGGTGGTAAGAAGCTAAGGCACGGGAGAAGGGGAAGGGCCAGGAGCGGTGAATACCTGGAGCCCAGAAGAGCCTGAGGCGGACGGAGCACGAGTTCCAACAGCTCAGGCTGCACAGGGAAACCTTATCTCAAGAAAGAAAGAAGAGGCATCGGTCCCAGTGGCCTGGCTTCCCTCCATATAGGCGCTTGGGAGCCACTCCAGGGTCCACGCCACCACCGCAGCAGCTCTGAATAATGTGTTCATGTTTTATTTGCATTTCTTGAATTATTAATGATCACAGAATGTATTCCGTGTTTGCACTTGCTGTTTAGAGGATTGTTTTCAGCCCTGAGCATTTGATTCTTAGTACATTAAGTGTGAAACCTTACAGTATCCCTAAGGGTGTGTGTTAGAGTAGAACGAAGTGCTGTGTGTTAACACACCAAACAGCACCTACACTGTCACAGCCCCAGAGCCCATGTTTGTCTCTAGTGCTGTAGAGTGCAGCCATAGCCATGTGCCTTTCTCATCTGTGGGGCATGGGAAAACATGCTATTTGTTGTGATTTTAATATAATGACCATTTATTTCAAATAATTCAGTATAACTGTTTCAGATGAATTATCAACCACACATGGAAGAAATCAAACTGATATTTAATTGTTTTATATGATTTTAATTATGGAAAACCTGTGTATACAAGAATATTTAGTGACAGCCAAAAAAAAATTTGAACTTAATTGCCTTTCAGTTTAAAAAAGTAATCCCCACTACCCCTACCAGGTGTGGCCAACCTGCAGGCTGCAGGCCTCGTGCAGCCCAGAGTGTACTGCTCTGAATGCAGCTGGACACAAAACTGTAAATGTACTTAAGTCTTATGAGGACTAGGGAGATGGCTCAGTGCTCAAACCATTTGCCACAACTGTGAGGATCTGAGTTCAAATCCCCGGGACCCATGTAAACAGCTGGCCTTGGTACTGTGTGTCTGTCACCTGTTGCTCCTATAGTCAATGGGAGATACGGACAGGAGGAGCTGTGGAAACCTATCAGTCAGCTAGCCTGGTGCAGCAGCTAGCGACAAAGAAGATAGCCTGTCCCAAACCAAGGTGGAAGACAAGGACCGACAGACACAGACACATGAAGTTGTCTTCTGACCCCCACACATGTACCACACTCTGCACACGCACACCTACACCTACACACATACAAAAGAAAAACGGGGTATCTGTAGCCTATCGATAATTACTGGTAAGATTTGGTTGAAACCCTCGTTGAGTGTTTTCCTCCTGAAATGTAGACTTTAAAATGATGTTTTGTTTCTGGTTTCTCTCCAGGTTAAAAAGGCCTTCTTTGCCTTAGTAGCCAACGGAGTCCGTGCAGCGCCTCTGTGGGAAAGTAAAAAGCAGAGCTTTGTAGGTGAGTAACAGAGCTGGGGAAGGCTGTCTTCTGAGAAGGAAGTGTCCTTATTCCCCATCCCTGCTGGTTCAGCCAAATTGAAGAACAATCTGGTTTTTGCATACTTAACCAGTCCAGACCATTAGTGAATGTAAGACAATGTTGGGACCTTATTGCAGTCTTTTTTTTTTTTTTTTTTTTTTTTTTTTGCTTTTCAAGTATTTGTTTGTTTGGAGGGTGTTCTTTTCATTTAGCAAGTCTGAGCATTTTGAAGGAGGTTTTGTGTCCTTATTAGCTCAGGGAACAAAATCACCCCAGAGTGATGAGATGAGTTCAAGGTACTTACTCTGGGGTGTGTGCTGACTCATCACCCTGTAAATGGCAGCAAGCATAGAACGTGAATATAATCAATGTCTGCTAAATCATTAAGCTGTTAGAAATACTGGCTAAGCCCTGGATGTGCTGGGATTACTGTAATCCCAGCACTTGGAATCCAGAGGCAGGGGAATTGCAAGTTCTAGCCTAAGCAAGACCTTGACTGGAATAGCCAAGAGCTAGGGGTGTCAGTCGGTGTCACAGGTCCTGTTTAGGATGTCCAGGGTCCTAGACCGGACCTTAGCACTGAAAGGGAAAGGGTGTGTGCCTTCCAACTGTGTAAACCCTTTCACATCTGACCCCAGTCAGGACAGCCTGGCGATGCTGTCACTCTAGTGTTTAGAGCATTACTCTGAAATTAACTACTTCAGTCTGCTCTCCCTCTAGACTATACTGTTCTTTTGTTGTCATTTTTGGGTTTTTGGTTGGTTGGTTGGTTGGTTGGTTGGTTGGTTGGTTGGTTGGTTGGTTTTGGTTTTGGTTTTGGTTTTTCAAGACAGGGTTTCTCTGTGGCATCATTTTGTTTTTTGAGTTGGGGTTTCTCTCTGTGTATCTCTGACTATCCTGGAACTCAGAGATCCACCTGCCTCCGCCTCCTGAGTACTGAGGTTAAAGGTGTGTGACCACCGCCCAACATTTCTTTTTGTCACCGTCACAGCTCTGGTTTCCAGCACACAGTAGTTCTGCAGTGAGCGGTGGCTCTTTGCTGAACGTGTTATGTTCAGAGTGCTTCTTGGGAAGCAGTCCAGGGGCCCCGGAAGTCCTACCTTCATAGCACTTAGGGACTTCTGCATCTACTGCCGCAGCATTTAAAATTATTCGCATGCAGCTACAGTTCTTTGTGGTATTTTATGAGTGCTAGTGAGTTCTCGCTCCATCTGTCAAACACTCAGATTCCATACAGACCATCAGGCTTTGGTTTGCATTTCTAGTTTAGTGTAGGAAATACATGTAGCACGAATAATAAAAACCCAGAGACAGATATTGGGGTTAAAGCTGAAGATCAGAAAAGCAAAGGAGCCAGCCACTAGAGAGACCTCTACCAAGGCTCAGACCAAAGTGGCAAACCTGTCCCTCCAAATCCTCAGACTGAATGCTGTCTCTATGAATGCTGAGCTCCTGTCTCCTCCCACCTTATACTCCTCTCTCTGCCCAGCCATATCACGCCTGTCTCCACCTCCCTAGTGCTGGGATCAACGGTGTAAGCTGTTTCTCTCTTAGATTGATTCACTATTGTGTAGTGACCTTGAACTCAAAGAGATCTGTCTGCCTGTCTCCTGAATGCCGAGATTAACGGTGTGAGCCACCGCTGCCTGGCCTCTTTGGCTAACTAGTGTGGCTAGCTCCACACTCCGATCTTTAGGCAACCTTACTTGTTAAAAGCAGAAAACAAAATATCACCACATGAGCCTGAGGTTTTTGGGTTGTAGTTTGCAAGAATTTCTAGTAAACACTGCAGATTCACTTGCCACTGGAAGCTTTCCTTCTGTGTGTCTTTTTATCTTTTTCCATATATGTGTATGTGCTGTGTGCTATGTGTATATATGCACATTTGCATGCATGTGGTCATGTGTGTGCATGTGCATGCATGTGTGGGGATGTGTGTGTGGGTGTGCTCGAGAGCGTGCTCATACATGCTTGCATGCATGTGAAGGCCTGAGATTGATGTCAGGAATCATCCTCCATCACTTGTCCACTTTATTCTTTGAGGCAGGGTCTCCTAATCAAATATAGAGCTGCCAATATGCCTACTCTCCCAAGCCAGCTTACTCTGGGGTTCTGTCTCTGCCTAAGAAGGCTAGAATTGCAAGTGGGCCCCCACACCGAGGACCCAGACTCCTGTCCTCACACTTAGGTGGCAAGTGCTTTAACCACTGCAGTTCCTCAGTTTTGTTTTTACCTTGTGGTTCTTTGTTCCAGGAATGCTCACTATTACAGACTTCATAAACATACTGCACAGATACTATAAATCACCTATGGTAAGTAGCAGAGATCTCACTGTGTATGTGGTTAGGATGGGGTGGATTTTCCCAGGATGTTTAAGACTTCCAACCCAAGTAAACAATGAACTTGGCCTCACATCATTTATTCGAAGTTTGAAGAAGGTACCAGGAAAAAAGAAAGAGTAGTAACTGCTTTATTCAGCTTACAGAATTATCCATTCTGATTTACAGTCCTGGTGTGTGTTAAGTTCCTGCTTCTGGACAACTAGCCCCGCAGTACCAGCATCCTCTTAGTGATTAGCCTATGGGCCTCACCATGGAGATAAAGTGGCCGTGGGGTTTTCTTTTTGCACGCTGGTTGTTCTGAGTGGAGTTTGAAAGTTGCTCATCATCCATCGGGATTTATTTTTCTTTCAGTTCTGGAGGGAAACCAAAGCATTGAGCTTGCTGGACAAGGCTCCACCACAGAGCCGCTCTAGCCCCTCCTTCATGGTTTTAGAGCCACTATAAGGAAACTAGGAAAGAGGTCAGATCACAATTGAAGAAATTCAGTTCTGACTCTTTGCTGCCCAGTCGGGAAAAGACTGTTCTGGATGCCGTTGATGGCAGACGCCCTGGCACCTAGCCCAGATGGTCTAGCAGGGCAGTTTGAATTGAAACCCAGTCTGCCCTGTACCAGACACCACTTGGCTTGGTTTTGTTTGCTGTGGTGGGGAGGACAGTTGTCTGTAGTTCTACTGTTAGGGTATCTAAAAGACAGACATTTCTCCAGTTAGTGTGTTTTTAAGGTGGCGGTCAGTTGTCCACTAGTACGCATTATTTAACAAGGGAACATGTCCTGAGAAGTGTCCATCAGTTGGCCCCGTTGTATAAACACAACAAAATGTTTTACTCAGACTGAGATGGCCACATTGATGGGTTCCGACAGTCACCATTTGATCAAGCTGTCACTGAGTGGCATGTGGCTTTAATTCCCACATAAAATACAAAAATGAGTTTCTTCATGAGGAAAAATCTAGAAGGAAGATCTTTCTATGTAGGACAAGAAGGTGGAAAGTGGACTGTGAAAAGGGAAGAAGAAGAGGGGAGGCCTTACCCTCTCTGAGGAGCAGGTGGAGGGGGAGAGGAGGGAGGGGAACTGGAATTGGAATGTGAAAAATTAATTAAAAAGAAAAAAGGAAGGGGAGAATGGGGAGGAGGGGTGGAAGGGGAAAGTGGGGAGGAGGGGGCCTTGGGGGTAGGAGTGGAGAATAAGAGAAGATAAAGGTTATGTGTGACATGAAAACAGGAGGAAGGGCCATTTGTGGGAAGAAAGGGAGCAGTCAAGGGGGGGAAGAGATGACATACGTACAGAAACAGAAATGCCACCATGAAACCTATTACTTTTTATGCTTATTTAAAATTTTTAATTAAAAAACTTCCTACTTAGAGAAAAATGAAGGAAGTTTTCCCAGACTTTAAATATTCTATGTTATATATGTGATAAGGAACAGCAGATGCCTTCTGGCAAATCTCTGTGGTGGTTAATTAAATAAAAAGTTGAAGCCAGCACTCAGGATGCAGAGGCAAGTGGATCTCTGTGAGTTTGAGGCCAATCTGGTCGACAGAGTGAGTTCCAGGACAGCCTCCAAAGCTATACAGAGAAACCTTATCTGGAAAAACCGAGAGAGAGAGAGAGAAGGAGGTCAATGAAAGATTAACAGATAAGCAGGCTAGAGCTTTCTTGGTATCTCCTTGTGTCCCCTAATTTGCTAATTATAAACAGAAAAGCAAGAGTGTAGCTGCTTGCCCCTGTGGATGGTAACCCTTGTAGATACGGATTTTTCTAATTTGCAGGTACAGATTTATGAATTAGAGGAACATAAGATTGAAACGTGGAGGGGTAAGCATTGCCAGTCTTAAACTCTTCGCTGTCTGGAGAAAACACTATGCGAAAAGCACGTTTGGATGTCTCAGGCCATTTCCTGCACTTAACTACAACCTGCCAGTTAAAACACTGTTCCATTCTGAGGAAGCTTCCCTCCTATCTGTGCCTGTTGTCACACGTGTGTGGCCTTACTCCACCAGGCCTGCAGCTGTGGAGATGAAGTGATGTGGCCACCAAGAGTGTCACCCTCAGATATCTGGTCACCATGGCCTGAGTATGGTGCAGACCCAGCTTCTGCTCCAAGAAGCTGAATTCTTCTTTTACCAGTTCAGCGAAACCAGAACAAGAGAAACTCTACCTGAAAAGTTCAGACCGGATAACTGGAAAACCATTGCAGGAGCCCCTGGGCTAGGGAGATAGTATAGAACGAAGGAGCTGGCTGTGCAAGCCCTGAGCTCAGTCCCCAGAGTCCATGCAGAATAGCCAAGCATGGAAGTGTGCACTTACCAGCACTGCAGACCATGACAGGTGAATCTCAGGGGACTCACTGGCCAGCCAGCCTGATTGAATCAGCAAGGCCTGAGCCAGGGAGACACTCTGTCTCAAAAAACATGATGGAGAGCCTCAGGTGTTCTCTGATGCCCGCACACAAGTTTGCATACACACAGATACATACACTAGTATATATAAAAGGACTCTGTTTGCCATGCCCTTACAGTCTTGTTATTTTTGCCTACAATGGGACCAGTATTTAAACTCTGGCTCTATTATGGGAAGGTTTTCATCTCAAAGACTCATAGTGGGCAGGGATGGGTCAGAGGACCCAGAATGATCAGAGCATAAGAGCGCTGACCCCATGCTCACGGAAAAGCCTGGCTAGAAAAGGAGGGACCAACTGCAGGACATTTTTTGGCTGGGTGTTAGGAGTCTGGTTTTGTTACTCCGTCATGTGCTGGACAGGATGGGCAGATCTCAGGGTAGCTGAGAGATCATAGCCTCCACTGAGTTCTCCAAACCTCTGCAGACCCTTTCATTTCACATGGTTGTGAAACCTTGCCAGAGTGTGTTTTGTTGAGCATGGCTATATCAGGGCAGCTAAATGAGTTAAGGCAGCACAGCATCCAGATGGCCTGTCAGTCACATGATTAACAATACCAAGACAGGCACTTCTCATCAAATTCTGCTGTATACATTCCATTGCCCGTGGTTTAGGTGTATTTATATCTATCTATACCTACGGGTGTGTTTGAAGGTGTGATAATATCAGGATGGTCTCAGATGCCTTCTGTGTGCAGACCTCAGCAAAGCAAATTAAGTCCAATTAATTTCTTTACAATGAAAATGTCCATATGTTGGCAAGACTCCCAACATGCCCTGGGTTTAGAGCATCAGTTGAGAGAAATAAAATGAGATCATTTGAAGAACAACACTGCTTAAAGTGATGCTGGCTCCCAGCTTAAGAAAGTCTGCTCTAAAGGAGTCTTAAATGTTTCATTTCTTAAGAGTAGTGTGGACTGGATAGGACCCAGTGGCCTCTGCTGTCATCGCTCCCTGTTAGACCATTTCCTGGCGTTATCAGCACCTTTGGAAATACCAGTTTTTTCCTGTATTTGAACAGTTGAGGCTGCTGAAAATGACCCTGACTGGGTAACCTTAGTTTGGGGTAAATTATCTTTTATTTGTGTTTCAGTTGTCTAGTTATTGCCTGTAAACTGGAGGATATTGTAATGTGAAACAGAATTTGCACAGCAGATCTGTAACTAACTGTGTTTCCCTTCTATAAATGCAGAGTTGTACTTACAAGAAACTTTCAAGCCTTTGGTGAATATCTCTCCAGATGCAAGGTAAGCATGGACGCTTCTTCTCCTCCTTTAAAAACGTTCTTTGCAATGTAGGTGTTTTAGTGCCATGATAGGTAACTGGAAGTAGACAGACAAGTCCCTCAGTCTAGATAGGGCCAGCCTCCTTAATCCAAGTAGTGTGCCAGAAGTTTAGAGATGTTGGAAATCACAGCAAAGCCAGGCTTGGTGGAATCCTAGCACTCGGGAGGCTGACACAGGAGACTAGCGTATTTGAGGCCAACCTGAGCTATATACACAGCAAGCACAAGGCTATCCTGGACAGCTTAGCAAGACCTGAGAGAGGAAGGGGAGTGAGGGAATGAGCAACTATATAGATCCAAGTGATTGGAAACGGGCTATGAGGCTGAACATTCAGACCAGTTTTGTTTTCGAGACAGAGTTTCTCTGTGTAGCTTTGTAGACCAGGCTGGCCTTGAACTCACAGAGATTCGCCTGTCTCTGCCTCCCAAGTGCTGGGACTAAAGGTGTGTGCCACCACGGCCCAGCTTCATCCAGGCCAGTTTTAAAGATCCAGTTCGCCTGCAGCAACATCAGTAAAGGAATCCTATTACAGTTACTGAGCTCAGGGCTTTACTCCCGACCCCAGCCTTCACTCTGAGAGGCTATATTCTGGGAGCAGCAGTGAAACATCCCAGAGTGATTTCAGTCCAGAGTCATCCTAGGAAGAGCAGGAAGGGTGGAGCAGGACTCGAACATACCGTGGTGGTAGAGCAGGTGCCGGACTCTGCCTCTGGGTCTCAGCACAGGATGGACAGAAAAGAAGACATTTTTAAAGCCCAAGAGCTGTAGAAAGAGAATACACTTGGTTTTGTTACCTTATTTCCAGATCGTAGGGGAAGGTACACCCACAGGCTTCCTGGAGACAGCAATGAGGACACAGGGCAGTTCCCCAAGGTGGACTGGTGGGGCAGGCAGACCCCCTGGGGGTCTGGCACCCAACCTCAGTGCTGAGATCACTGAGGCCACGCTGGCTTTCTGGAAGGCTTAAGGTTTGCCTCTTTCAAACAAACCTGCTGGACGCACTGTTAGCAACCCGCCTTGCTGGAGACCCATGATTCCCTCTTGAGTTTGGGATATAGCAACAAATGGGCAGGGAGCTCCCATGTAAAGCTTTGCCATGACTATTTTAAGCCAGTGAACCGCTTATGGTAATATAAAAGCAGTGAAAATACTGTTAAGCAGGGGTGGTCCAAAGTCTTTCTGGTTTTCCTTGAAAGCCTCCTAACGACTCTAATGGCTTTTCCCGCAGCCTCTTCGATGCTGTGTACTCGTTGATCAAAAATAAAATCCACAGATTGCCAGTTATTGACCCTATCAGTGGGAATGCACTTTATATACTTACCCACAAAAGAATCCTCAAGTTCCTCCAGCTTTTTGTAAGTAGTCCCTAAAGATGCAGTTGCTTTGACCGTCACTTACATCAAGTAAATGGGCTCCTGTCGCTCTCGGTAGAAGAAACCATTAGTTCCAAGGTCTCCATTTTGCAAAATTTCAGTTTCTCGACTCACTACTGTGTACACTGTGTGTTCTCTAAGTTGAGGCCAGTTCAAATGCTAAAATCATTTAGAACAAATATTACAGTAATAAAAATGGAGAATGCCCCCTAAAGATGGGCATCTCTTGTGCACGGGCAGGTAAAGCAGTTTCTAGACCAGTCTCTTTGAGGTCTACTGCACCAGATGGAGCCAGGGCTTAGGTAGAAGCTGCTTCCTGGTGTGTTTGTTGAGGTCATGGTTTTAGAAACATGAGAAAAAAAAAGCACACACATCCCAAGAGTTGTCCCGTTCTTGACTGCAGCAACAGCCAGAAAATCCCAAGGCAAGTCAGATGTAAGCAAGAGACACACCATAGTGCACTTTGTGTTCACAACCTCTGAGACAGGTAGCATTAGAGGAGGCTCCCTGGGAGCGGGAATGTGCCAGGAGGCTTTCGTGTCCCACCTCCATCACCTGTGCTGAGTTGAAATCCTCAGTGGAAGTGCTGATGGTTCAGAAAGGTCATTGGAGTTTTCTTCCTAGAGGAAATCCACGTAAAAGCTGCTTTCTGTCTGCAACATCCCTCCAGGCATGGCGTGCAAGTTGCTCTTCTGGATGCAGCCTTGCAAGGCCAGGGGCTTACAGAGGTGTCAAAGTTTAGAGACATCGTTGGTGATCCATCTGGTCATGTAGACAGTTTAATAGAGCATACATAGACAGGTTGCATCTCCTGATTGATCAAATGCTAAGAAATCAGGAGAGGAATGATTTGCCAAAAAAGCCCATAAGATTTAGCAACTAGGAAGAAAGTGAAGGGTTTTGTCCATCAGCTGATAATTGGGGAGTATGGTAGCCTTCCGTGTTGAGACGTCATAGGAACCCAGGGCTTGGGTGGAGGGGTGGGTGCTCTGGTTCCACAGTGGCCAGGCTGGCAGCTCAGCCCCCAGAGCCCATCTGTGACAGGCACTACCCTAGGAGCTTTGCACGAGGTGTCCTTATTGCCGCCCATCCTGTTGATGTTGCTAATGCTATTCATAGTGCCACTCATCTAGTCTGTAGAGAGGAGGGGTTGCCTATATTTGGACCAATATGACAGATAGAACCTTACAGCCAGAATATTCAGCCATCTCAGATAAAAATACATGTTTTAAATAAGAAACACCATAGCCTAGTTTTTACTGAGTTATCAGGCTCCTTCTGAGAAAAGGTAGCGATACCCTTCCAGGCATTTGAGAAGTAGGCAGTCTAAAACAGGAATCTCCTGTATTGAGATGGGTTGGGTGACCTAATAGGTTTCTCTCTCTCTCTCTCTCTCTCTCTCTCTCTCTCTCTCTCTCTCTCTCTCTCTAAATTTCTAGGAATCTCATGATTTGAATATTGATGAACTCTTTGACTTGAACATTTTGTTTCTTCTAATTGTTCATCTTTTCCCGATAATTATAAGGTATACTAGGAGGATGGTGTCAGCTATGCCCTTTATAAAAGGTGGATCTTTGCAGCCATAGAGCTTACTTTGTTGTAGTCCAGCCTGATCCTAGACTTTCTCCCGGCTTATCCCTCCTCCTCTGAACCAGTCAGAAAAGGAAGTTAATCTTGAAAGGTTCCTTCTGCTTTGTTTTTAATAGTCAGAATTGGATTCATCTGGGCAGAGTGCAGGCTGTGGCAGTGGGATGAAACCAGTAGCAGCTGATCTCAGCCAGTCAGCCCTGAGGTCTGCAGACAACAGGCTCAGTGTCACTTCAGGTCCCAAGGCTGAGTGTACATCACTAAGAATAAAGGGTTCAAGCCATGCTGGCTTTCAGGCCTTCGTTTCTCAGACAGACCTGTCGATCCCATCTCTTACTAACTGTTTTGATGTAAAGAGAATGGAAAACATAAATTCTCAGTATCATTTTTTTTTGGGAAGGATGCATGTAGAGCAGCTGGTTTGAGACAGTTGTGATGTAGCTTTGATGACAATGAGATACCAAGCTGACTGTTAGGAAAAGAGTACCTTTAATTTGTTGAACACTGTTTTTCAATCAGATCTGGATGTTTGAGCATCGGAAGGGTTTGCTAGGGTTCTAGAACATTCTCATGTCTCTCCTTGCTCAGATGTCTGATATGCCAAAGCCTGCCTTCATGAAGCAGAACCTGGATGAACTTGGAATAGGAACGTACCACAATATTGCCTTCATTCACCCAGACACTCCCATCATCAAAGCCTTGAACATCTTTGTGGAGAGACGGATATCAGCACTGCCTGTGGTGGATGAGTCAGGTCTGTGAGGCCATCCCCGCAAAGCTGAGCAAAAGTGAATGCTGGGATGCAGTTCCCACAGTCAGCAATCAGGAGGACTTAGTTTCCTGTCTCCATTAAGATACTGTTTCATGTCCATTTTCAAATAGGCCCATTTGTTTTATTCAACACTGTTCAATCCACAGTAGTTACCCAGTTAAGACTGATTCTTTAATGAGTTGCTGGTTTGTTCCTAAAATGTTTTTCTAACATATGTTTTCATTTTTAGGAAAAGTTGTAGATATTTATTCCAAGTTTGATGTAATTGTAAGTATTTTTCATGTTTTTAAAACTCGTCATTCAGAATGCATTTCTAAACAAATGAAAACCAAAATTAGACTGGGTCATTTAAGTCTTGGAGAATTTCCATCTCTAATATGTACTCATGTACCAATGAATTGTGTAAGTATGTGCGGATGTTTTGCCATCCCTGGGCTCTTTTACAGGGGTGCGTCACATCCATCCCTACAGCCCGTACATCTTACTGTTCTCAGGGTTAGTTTGTTTCTCAGGAGACATTGCTCGCGTGTGTGGTGCAGAGCCTTAGTGGACAAAATGGAAAGGAGCCTGGTAGAAAACACTGTCAAAATTTAGCATGTGAGCTGGAGAGTTGCCTCAGTAATTAAGAATACATGATGGTCCCAGTGTCAGAGGAAAGGGCTCATAAGTACCTGGAACTCCAGCTTCAAGGGATCCAATACCCTTTTCTGTCCTCTGTAAGCAACACACACACACACACACTCACACACAATATACACATTCACACACACACTCATACACAGACATACATGTGTGTACATGTGCACACACATACAAATAAAGTAAAAATCTCTTTAAATATATGAAACAACATCTATCTGCCAAGCCTCGTGACAAAACCTGTAATCCTAGCTACTCAAGAGCTTAAGGCAGGAGGATTGCAAGTTCAAGACCTGACTGGACTTCAGAATAAGTTCAGAACCAGCCTGGGTAACTTAGGGAGGCCTGGCTCAAAATTGGGGGGAAAGAAGAGGCTAGCACAGTAGGTTAGTGGCAGAGCACTTGCTTAGTTTGCATGAGGTCCTGGTTTCAGTCTCCCATACACAGCAAACCTGCATTCCTCCATAATCAAGAGCCACCTAGTAGCATGATGTCTGTCGTTACAACTGACACGACTGTGCTGATGGAATGATACGAGCTGGGAAGAGACCTGAATACCAAATTCCGTGTTAATGTTTTTAAGAATCAGGTTGCTCATTCATCTGAATGGAAATGGAGAATGTAACTTTTTCCCTGTGATTCTGTTACAGAATCTTGCTGCTGAGAAAACATATAATAACCTGGACATCACGGTGACCCAGGCCCTGCAGCACCGCTCACAGTATTTTGAGGGTGTGGTCAAGTGCAGTAAGCTGGAAACACTGGAGACCATCGTGGACAGGATAGTAAGAGCCGAGGTGAGACGCCCCAACCGGTACCCGCATTCCCTCCAGTCTGCGTCAGCACACACAGCAAGTAGTGAATGGATGACTGGGGAGGTTGAGGCACAGCCCTGGGAGACAGACCAGGGTTCTGTAGGATAGGAGTGGCTTCATGGCCGTTCTGAACCCCAGCACAGTGCTTGACACGCAGACCTGAAGGCTTACTGAGTTGAGTTGGATTTGGTAAATTTTTGTGAGTGAAATTAAATTGGCAAGGTACTTTCTTTTTTTTTTAATAAAAATGTATTTATTATGGAATGTAAAAAGCAAATTGAAAAATAAAAAAGAACCATTATATATAAAGTGTTTTGCCTGAATGTATGTCTGCACACCAAAAGAGGGAGCCAGATCTCATTACAGATGTTTGTGAGCCACCATTCAGGTGCTGGGAATTGAACTCAGGACCTCTGGAAGAGTAGCTAGTGCTCTTAACCTCTGAGCCATCTCTCCAGCCCCCTGCAAGTTACTTTCAGAGTATTAAAAATGTACACTTGAGAAAACAAAAGTTGCCCCAGGAGCTTTTAATTAATACATCCTGTCAGAGTATCTGTGAATTCAAAGCAAAAATATATAATGTTGTTTTAACAAAGTGAATGATAATAAGGCAAAGTGAAACTTTTTAAGTGTGTTTGTGTGTGTGTGTGTGTGTGTGTGTGTGTGTGTGTGTGTGTGTGTATGTGTGGGCATGCATGCACGCATACACACACACACACACACACACACACATGCATCTGCATATGTGGGGGTCAGATCTCTCCTTCCCCCTTTATGTGGGTTCTAGGGACTGAGCACAGATCATCAGACTATGTGACATCTACCCCGAGTCATCTCACCAGCCCCACACAAAACTTTTTAAAGTTAAGTTCCTGTCTCTCTCCTCTCTGTGCCTGACTGAAGTGAACTGTAAACTGTAGGACCTTCCCAGCCCAAACAGCCACCCCCACAGTGCCTGGACTTTATTGTTTGCGGAATTTTCAAGTGTGCCTTACACGGTGTTCCCAGGAAGGAGGAGAGGTCACTGTACTGTGTGTCATCCACCTTCTCGTTTCCACAGCCATTCCTTTCTTCTCAGACAGGGCTAGGAGTGGCCTCCCCTGTGCCCTTGTGTCTCCCCTCCGTCCTCCAGTGTCATTCTCAAGGACTGAAGGATACAGTTCTGTTCTTTCCAGAACATTCCCTACTAAGCAAAATGAGCTCCTAATGACAGGTCTATTTCAATATTATAAATACAGGGGTGCAAGCTAAGAGACAAAGTGCCTGATTAGCTTTGAGGCCACTAAGAGGCGACCTTAACTGCCACAGTGAGAGCTCATGCTGCTGAAGCCATGTGCCGTGTTGAGAGTCATTGCTGCTGGAGTTCCTCTGAGCCCCCATGTAGTCCAGCTTCTATAGAGTCCGGGGTCCGTCCCATAGAAGTGCTGCCATCCCACAGAGCCTAGCCTCCATGTGGCATCTGAGCTCATTCCTCAGCTTCTCCCTCCCCAGCTCTTTTCATTGCTCTTTAGCACCTTTCTTAACCTGGGATACATCCATCTTGTTTTCTAGAAGGTTCTAACGTACTTGGGAATGCATCCTAATGTCTCATGAATGTCCTTAGAGTCACGTGCCCTCCATAGGTCAGAAGCAGGAATAGGAAAGGTGTCATCCCTTCTGGTGATGACAGTGGACATGTATGTGATGGGATCCACTGTGAGACTACAGATCACTTTGCAGGAGAGTGTTAATGTTGAAAACCACCAGCAGTCTGTTGCCGTGAGAAAAGGCTAGTTACTGAGTCCAGTGATACCCACACTCTTGTGTGCTGTGGTGGAGACCATGGAAATCTGTGGTTTGAAGAAAAGCCGTGAAGAGAAGTGAGGATGTAAATAGTTGTTTTCTCAAGTTACATGTCACGATTCTGTTACTGAAATTCCTCCACCAGGTGACTCCCCCCAGAGCCAGATTGTGTATGTCACTATCAGCCTGTTTGACAAGAAAATGACTTTTATAAAGTTCCTCAGACATATTTTGGCAGTCATGCACATGCCTCCCCGTACATACATATATAAACATAATAAAAACAGATAAAGTAAATCATCATTTTATCCTAAATCACAATTACAGTGCTGTGTTTTACCACAGGATTACTGAGGGACCTGAAGGGACTTTGAAAGAAACTTTGTAAAGAAATGTATGTTGGCCTGGCATTGGTGGCGCACGCCTTTAATCCCAGCACTCGGGAGGCAGAGGCGGGTGGATCTCTGTGAGTTCGAGGCCAGCCTGCTCTACAGAGTGAGTTCCAGGACAGCCTCCAAAACAATACAGAGAAACCCTGTCTCGAAAAACCAAAAAAAAAAAAAAAAAAAAAAAAAGAAATGTATGTTGATGGACTCAAGAAAAATAACCAGAGTGACTTTTAACCCTAAAGCCAGTTATGACATCAAAAACATTGTCCTTTGACAAAATGCATAGACTTCCTGCTCTGCGCCAGGAGTTAAGGCTGGCTGATGCCTCCGGGATCCCCCAGGTAACCTTTGGCCCCAGGCAGAGTAACAGGAAGCTGGAATGCTGCTCCACATATGGTGTGCTCTCTCCTTAGCTCTTTGTTCATCTCGAGATGTTAGATGAGAGCACCAGAGGTCACCATACCTGCTTTGCTGCCGAGGCCTATCCTCTTGGATATTAGCACTAAAACACGAATACCACAGGAAAGCCATAGCAGGAGAGAAAAGGGCAGAGAGACCAGTCCTTAAGTCCCCACAACCTTCTGGACTTCCACGGCTCAGCTAAAACCAGTTACCTACTGGCTGCAAGAGACTGAGATGGACTGTTAAAAGTTAGAGGCTGGAGTGGAGTCAGAGATAGCCCACTTGGTAAAGTGCTTGCCACACAAGAACCCGAATTTAATCCACAGCTTTGGGGTAAAAAAAAGCCAGATGGAGTAAGAGCATCTGCGAGGCCTGCGGGCCAGCTGGTGCAGCTGAGTAGGCGAGCTCGGGTTCAGGGAGAGACCCTGTAGAGAAGCATGGAGCAAGTCACCCAGTGTGGTCGGAGCCTCCATGCCCACCACAGGCATGCACATGCAGACCAAGACTGCTAATTTTGAGCTCCATGATTCCTCTATAGATACTTTGAGATTTGAAATCTCAGCAGACAGAGCTGGCTCATTTTTCTCACTATAGTCAAGCAAATTGTTGCATTTCACCTCTGGGCCCAAAACTTTCTGCCCCTCCTCAGCTGTGTCCATCGTATTGTTACATGGGTGCCATTTTGTTTTCAGCATGCATCTTATTTTTAGTTTAAACTTTCACATGTGGACTAGGAGGATAGATCAGTGGATAAATGCCCACTGTGCTGGCATGAGGATATTCAGATCCCGTCACCCACCCATAATAGTGTGGGTCTGCAGAATGGCTCCGAGGCTACAGGTTCTCACTGCTCTTCCAAAGGCCACAGGTTGGATTGTTGGATTCCGAGCACCCACCTGGGTGCTCACAACCATCTAGTTCCAGGGAATCAGACACCCTCTTTTTGGCCTCCAAGGGCACTGTGTGTATGTGGTACACAGATATATATGCATGCAAAATGCCCACACACAGAAAGTAAAAATAAATAAATAAATAAATAAATGTAAGTGAGGCAGCTGGGAAGTAGTGAGTGTGCGTGCCTTTAATCCCAGCACTGGGAAGGCAGGAACAAGCAGATCTCAGAGCTTGAGTCCAGCCTGTACACAGAGTGAGCTCATACCTGGACTTTTCTCTTTGCAGGTCCATCGGCTGGTGGTAGTGAATGAAGCAGATAGTATTGTGGGTATTATCTCCCTGTCAGACATCCTGCAAGCCCTGATCCTCACACCAGCAGGTAAACATACAGATTTCAGGCCAACACAAACACAGTATCCCATGAATTTAATCCTGGCACTCGGGAAACAGAGACAGAACGATTTCTGTGAGCTCAAGGCCAGCTGGTCTACATAGTGAGCTCCAAGCCAACTAGGGTTACATAAAGAGACCCTGTCTCAAAGGGGTAGGATGCATGGATGCATGGATGAATGGGCGGGCTTCTGTCCAAGATTTCCCGGACAGGCACTGAGGTGTTGAAGACACCCTGCCCCTACCTGCCTCCCACACAGCAGGACTTTGTGTGGGCCTGCTTTTGAAGTTCTAATGTTCTACTTGGGTGAGCACTTTCTAGAAAGCACACAGAGGGGCAGGGGTGGAAGGCGCAGGCAGAGGTGGCCTGATGAGGCCTTAAAACACTGCCACATCCTTCCTTCACAGTCTCTGCATCCCCGCCCCCACCTCTCCAGCCCTGTCATGGAAACTCCCAGCTTTTTTCCACAGGGTCACAGACCCAGGACAGACATGACAATAGGTGGCATATACTTTGAACTCTTAGCAGTTAATCATTAAATTATGTACCCACTGTGGTATTGCTTTTCTTTAGTTCAGAAATCAGTCAGTCTCAGCTAAAAAAAAGCTTTCATAATTAGTCTGTACCCTAAAACTACCCCCCATAAGAGTCCCCAGCAACTACTACAGTACTGTCCAACTCCCCAAATGCAAAAGCCTCAGAGCCAGCCACAGGAAAGAGTCACCTTCACAGGGACCTCAGCCAGCAGTGGCATCATGCAGAAGTTATGAGAGATGTTCATGTGAGGCCCCACCCCCCACATGCTGAATCTGAAAACACACATCTGTAGATGGGCGTCTTGTAGTCATTTTCAGACTAATTGGCTGAAGTTCACAATGAGCTTCATGATCAACCAGGGATCAGACGAATGATCTGTGTTGATACTATACATCTACCTTAGTTACTTTTCTGATACTGTAAAGATACCAAGACCAAAGCAACTTACAGAGGAAGGAGTGTATTGGGACTTACAGTTCAGAGGGTGAGTCTACGACCATCATGGTGTGGAGTACGGCGGCAGGCAGACATAGTGCTGGAACAGGGGTTGAGAGCTCACATCTGACCTACAGACAGACTGAAGAGAAGGAGCTAACTGGGGGGGCGTAGCATGGACTTTTAATACCAAAGCCCACCCCAATTGACACACCTTCAACAAAGCCACGCCTCTTAATCCTTCCCAAACAGTTGTACCAGCTGGGGGCCATTCTCGTTCAAACCACCACAACTTTCAAGTTGGAAATAGCCTAGGATCTTTCAAAAGATGAAAGGGGAAACTGAGATAACTGGTCCTGTGGAATACCATACAGCACTGAAAATGAATGGAGCTACTCTATTACAAGCAAAACTGGGAAGTCATGTTAACATATAGCCTGTGACAGATTATGTGTAGGTAAATATCCAAGCAGGCAGAACCACAGGCACTCCCCATGTAAAAGCTGTTGTCTGTGTAGACACATCCCCACAGGTAGGTAGTGCCCTCTCCAGGAGCAGCCCTGGACTCAGGCATGCGGTCACCTCAGCAGAGTTGAGTGCGGGCCCTCATTTGTCCCCTTGAGAAGAATCCCAGAGTAAACTGGCAAGTGACTCCTTCTCCATAGCCTTGGTGTCTCAACAGAAGCTTGAGCAGGCTGGATACAACTTTAGATTCCATCTAAACTTGGCATTTCTAAAGTTGTCAGTCATTCTTGCTCCTCCCATTCCTGTGGGTACAGGGCAGAAATCTATTTCACAGCTGACATTTGGGCTGGATTTGCCATAGAAACCCTGTCATAAAAATGGGTTGGCTGGGTTGGAGTTCTTGTGGATAGGATACATAGGACGTTCCATTAAGGAAAATGTTCCCACTATCTAAAGCAGAGCTTCCATGGAGCTCAGAATGCTCACTTTTGCAAGGCAACCTGCGTGCTTACAAGTCAGGAAAGTGATGGTATACATGGAAACTAAGAGACCTAGTCTCAGTCACCCCCACCGCTGCGTGCGTTGGTGTGAGGGTGTCAGATCTTCTGGAACTGGAGTTACAGACAGTTGTGAGCTGCCATGTGGTCTTCTGGAAGAGCAGCCGGTGCTTTTGACCTCTGAGCCATTTCTCCAGCCTGGCCTGCCTGGCCTTAGCTGCCTTTAATCCCAGCACTCGGGAGGCAGAGATCTCTGTGAGTTTGAGGCCAGCCTGATCTACAGAGCAAGTTCCAGGACAGCCTACAAAACAATACAGAGAAACCCTGTCTCGAAAAAACAAAAAAAAAAGGGGGGGGGCAGCTGAAGTAACTGCCTGTTTATTTTTGCTTTTTTAAGTAGTGGGATCTGACATTCAGAATGGCAAGATATGATAAAGATCGGAGCCCAGGGATGTGGGAGGGCAATGGGGTCCTGTAACCACCTCTTTCTCCCACCTCTCTGTTTGGAAGCCTCTGGCTGTCCTTCGCCACTGCCAGACCGGGTGGGATTGATGTGTGCAGAGAACCCTGCCATGAACGTGAACTTGAAACTTCCACTTTCCATACCCTGGCAGGTGCCAAGCCGAAGGAGACAGAGGCCGAATGACCACTGTAGATGCCCTCACAGGAGAACTTGAACAAAGTCTCGGGGTCACATTTTGCCTCATGAACACTGGCTGCAATAGAAGAAATTAAAATGGCTAAGAATGTATATCAGGGTTTGGCGATGGGTATTTTTCCAGTGATTTGTAAGCATAGGAAAAGATTTTATGTGCTTGAAGAAGATTCAGGCTTGCGTTCAAAGACTGTCCTCAGACCCCCGTCCGAGGGATTTTCAATGCTGTATGTCATTAAAGTGCACTGTGTCCTGAAATTAGTACTACTTTTCATTTCAAAGCAGTTACTGGGATGGAACAGGTGACCAGAAGTGAGTGAAGGGCACGTCCACACCACGTGCCTTACGTCCAAACACGCAGTGTGTCCCCGCCGCTGCCACACGCCCCAAAGTGCTGCTGAAGAGACACTCAGCCCAATGTGAACGTCTTCAAACCTTTTAACCAGTCTCTCTCTCTCCCCTCAATTTGCTGAAAATTTGTAATTTTAATATAGGCAGCTGAAAACTGGAGGTGACGGGTCTAAGTGGTGCGTGACTTGTTCTGGCTACTGTGTCAGTGAGGCTGGCTTGGTAACAACAGTTTATTTTTACTCTCATGCAGTTTTTTTTTTTTTTACACCTTTTGGTGAATGGACTTCACCAAACCTACAAATAAAATCTTGGTCTCTGAAATGGCAAATCTCTCGTGGTTTTAGTTTGGATCTGGAAAGGCTACGCCTTCCAAACAGCCACTGTTGGGTTTTTTAATGTTTATGGAAACGGGCCGTGACCACAGGGATGAAGTGCCAGAGGACTCTGGGGTTTTTTGTTTGTTTGTTTATTGTGTGTTGAAATGTAAACTCATGATGTTTGTGTGACCGAAGACAAGACACTTGTAACTTTTGTTGTGACACATAAAACAGTATTGTCATGCAATTGAAGGGAAACAATGTTCCCTCGTGCAGTGCTCTGAAAATGTCGAGAGTGTGTGGGAGGTGTGTGTGTGTGTGTGTGTGGGTGTGGAGTTTGGGGTTTTGTTTCTTGGGTTGTTTTTTTTTTTCCAGATTGAAAATTAAAATAAATCCTACCTACCTGTTTGCTAAAGTTCTTTAAAATACTATATATTTGGACATGTTCCAATTAAGATTCTACATGGAGTTTCTCACGTACATTTCATCTCCCTTTTACCTATTCCCAGAAGAGAACTTAAGAATATTGAACTTGTGAGTTCCATTAGTAAATATAAACATTTGTTAGAGTTTCTCAGTATACCTCTGGCTGTCCTGGAACTCACTTAGTAACCAGGCTGGCCTGAAACTCAGAGATCCACCTGCCTGGGTCTCCTGAGTGCTAGGATTAAATACATGTGCCGTCACACCCAACTTAAATACGAGCATAGTTTTAATTAGGAATTGTTATACCAGGAGCTGGAGAGATGGCTTGGATTAAGAGCACTAACAGATCTTGCAGAGGGCCTGGGTTCAGTTCCCAGGACAAACATGGTGGCTCACCACCATCTGTAACTCCTGCTCCCAGGGATTCAACAGTCTCTTCTGACCTTTGTATTTATTGCCTATGGTACACTTACGGGTAGACAAACACTCATAAAATTAAAAAAAAAAATCTTTAGAAAGATACTTGTCACATACCAGGGATGGCAGCACATCCCTGTCATTGCGGCACTTGGAGAGTAAAGGCAGAGACTCTCCTGCACTCAGTCCAAGGCCAGTCTGGAACAAGACCCAGTTCCCCCATCTACTCCCCCCCCCCCCCCCACCTAGCATGGCATCCCCTCACAGGGAATGGGCTCTACAAGCTAGCTCATGGGCTGGGGATCCTGGTCCTACTGCCCGTAGTCCCTCAGATAGCCAAAGCTTCACAGCTGTCTCCCACATACAGAGGGCCTAGTTCAGTCTCGTGGGGTCTCCACAGCTGTCAGTCTAGAATTCATGAGTTTCCATGGGCTTGGTTCAGCTGTCTCTGTAGATTTCCCCTTCATAACCTTGACCTCATGCATTCCCGCCTCCCTCTCATCGATGGATTCCCAGTGCTCAGCCTGGTGCTTGGTTGTGGATCTCTGCATTGGGTCCATCAATTACTGGATGAAGGCTCTGTGATTAATGTTGGGATACTAACCAATCTGATTACAGGGAAGGCCAGTCTGGGCATCCTCCCCACTATTGCTAGGAGACTTAGGTAGAGTCATCCTTGGGGGTTTCCCTAGCACCAGGTTTCTCCCTAGCCCACTAGTGGCTCTCCCTTTCCATGCCTCATGCTCAGCCATCCCATTCCCTCATATTAGCCCCCATCTCTTCCCCTTTACCAACCCCTCATCCCCAGTTTACCCAGGAGATTGCATCTAATTCCCCTTCCCAGAGCAATCCAGGGTTCGCAAGACCCTGCCTTAAAAAAAATTGTCTGTGTGTGTGTGTGTGTGTGTGTGTGTGTGTGTGTGTGTGTGTGTACATTCATGCACTAAGATGTTGATTTCCTAGTTGGCCAAATAAATGACAACATGTACATAGCCTCCCTGGAAACAGTGGCAGCTTAATACTTGAAAGACAGTGAAAAAACATCAGAAAGCTACTAGACCAGTCCTAAAACTCGATCCCTCCCTGAACAAAGCTGCCATACACTCTGAGTTTGTTTATTTGGTGCCAGGCCCTGGGCCCACCTGGTTGCATAGCCCTAGGCCTGGTCCAATTAGGAAAAAAAAAAAAAAAACACTTGGCACAGGCATCTGGATGGCACTGTCCTAATCCCTTTTTCTGATGTACTTTAATGGGGAATACAATAACCCACATTTGTCCCTACTTGCCACTATCAAGAATTCACCTAGTTGGGCATTGGTGGCACACACCTTTAATCCCAGCACTGGGGAGGCAGAGGCAATCGGATCTCTGTGAGATTGAGCCTGGTCTACAGAGTGAGTTCCAGGACAGGTTCCAAAGTTACACAGAGAAACCCTGTCTCAAAAAACAAGCAAACAAACAAAAAACCAAATATACCTGGCCTTCTCCAGTAACACACATCACAAAGCCCCAATTCTAGTCATCTGTCACCTTTCCAGTCTCAGGGCCTTCCTCCTACCTCGTGATTGTCCTGTGTGCCAAGTCCACACAGGCATCCAGCCTTCGCCAACCCGAGGCAGAGCCCCATTCATGCCCTTTATGTCTGCTCTGCAATGACTTGCAAGTAAACTTGAGTCCTCTGAAATAAACACTTATTTTTTGAACATGCACTCATGTGTGTTCACTCTAATGGGCTGGTTCATAGATTGTTTGCCGCAAGGTGTCGCCTAAGCTTCTAGCTTGTTTCCCTCGATAGTGACAAGCTATGCTGCCAGCCCTGAGGTTGGCACGGTACTGCTGCTTCACTTGAGTCCAGCCCTGGCTCAGCTGGTCAGCAACACCTGACAGCACAGGGCCAAAGGCCAGCTGTTAAGAGCAGCGTCCTTCCCTCCCAGGCCTCTCCTGGCTGCGGCCCTCGGACCTCATTGCACTTGACACACTTCTGCCTAGCCGTCACCACAGGAGCTGCTCCTAACAGTGCAGGACAGCAGTTTCCAGAAGTATTTCAGTCAGCCAGGAAGGGCAAGGGCCTAAGAGGGTGAGGCCTTTCTAGCCCTAGACCTCTGCTAGCTAATAAGTGAGTGTCACCTGGGGGCCATTGAAAGGGCCCCCTTGTCTGTTGTTCGAGACAGGCTCTTGGGTAATCCAGGTTGATCTAGAAAACGCATTCCATAGCCAAAGATAACTGTGAACTCCTGATCCTCCAGTCTAACCCTGAGTGCTGGGAAAGAGGCGCATTTGTGTAGTGCTGGGAATTAAACCCAGAACTCTGTCTGCGAGGCAAGCACTCTGCTGCCACATGTCAGCCCCAAGGCTTCACACACCCTAGGCAGCCCTCTCCCACCAAGCTGCACCCCACCTCTGATGAAGTCTGTCCTCTCATGCCACCTTTATTGTACATCATATTAATGATTTGGCTGAGGTCACAGCATCCTGTCCTAAATGGCTGTAGTGAGTTGAACTGTCTCCCCAAACAGACTCTGATATCCCTGTGTCTGACTTACCTGCAACATTGACCTGCTTTAGAAACTGGGTCTTTGTGGAGGAATCAAGTTAAGATGAGGTCATTAGGTTGGCATCAATCCAATAGGACTGGTGTCCTTTTTGTAAGAGGGAAATCTGGACACTGACACACAGAGAAGGTTATATGGTGACGTTAGCAGAGAATGGAGTGATGCAGTCATGTGCCAAGAAAAGCCAGACCCTTGAGAGTGCCCAGGAGCTGGAAGACAGAGTGGGCCCTCCCTGGGAGTCTGCAGACACTGTCTTGAGACTGCAGCCTCTCACCCAGCTTATGGTACAGCATTTCAGCAGCCCAGGAAGCTGATACCGAGCTCTCTCCTCTCACAGCCTAGTTAGCTGCTTTTGTGCAAAGTTGACATGCGTGCTCACCTTTTTTGGGGAGTAAATAAATTCAAAACTCAAATCTTTTTTTTTTTTTTTTTTTTTTGTTTTTTCGAGACAGGGTTTCTCTGTATTGTTTTGGAGCCTGTCCTGGAACTCACTCGGTAGACCAGGCTGGTCTCGAACTCACAGTGATCCGCCTGTCTCTGCCTCCCGAGTGCTGGGATTAAAGGCGTGCGCCACCAACGCCCGGCTTTCAAAACTCAAATCTTAATAACAGAAACAACCTATGAGTCAGCAAACGGCGCCTTGACCCTGAATAGCAGCTGGGGAGTCTCTCTTCCCACCACTGGGAACCATCATTTTCCTGGGAATGTGTAATATACTGGGTCCTTGTAGGGGAAAAAATAGTCCATGTTGAGAGTTGAACTTCAGTATCACTTGAGTTTATACAAGCCAATCCCATCTCCAGGCAACCAACGCCCGGTCAAGAATGCCTTTTCAAAAGAATATTGTCATTTAGTCTGTAAGAATTTCATATGATGGGCTGGGTGGTAGTAGTGCCACGCCTTTAATCCCAGCACTCGGGAGGCAGAGGCAATCGGATCTCTGTGAGTTCGAGGCCAGCCTGGTCTACAAGAGTTAGTTCCAGGACAGCCTCCAAAGCCACAGAGAAACCCTGTTTCGAAAAACCAAAACAAATCAAAATGATTAAAAAAAAATAATTTCATACTATGTATCTACCCCTTCATTTGTCCTTCTAATCCCTCCCAGATCATCCCTACCCCTTTCCAAATTTCAAATTTGCATCCTCTTTTTTTGATAACCCACCAAGTCTGATTTGTGCCACCAATATCCTGATGGGTATAGAGTCAGCTGCTGGAGCATGGTGGACCTACAAGGATCACACCGTCTTTAGGATGCCTTTAAAATGTTTCAACCCGCCCCCCAAAAAAATTGCAAAAAAAAAAACCTTACCAAGGTAAACAATTACTTTTCTTATAAAATGAGCTATACTTAAGATCTGTGTGATTTTTTTTTTTTTTGGTTTTTCGAGACAGGATTTCTCTGTGGCTTTGGAGGCTGTCCTGGAACTTGCTTGGTAGTCGAGGCTGGTCTCGAACTCACAGAGATCCGCCTGCCTCTGCCTCCCGAGTGCTGGGATTAAAGGCGTGCGCCACCAACGCCCGGTTCGCCCTACCAATTTTTAAATACCATTCAGTCTATCAATTACCATTGAAAGACCTGGGCATCAAAACACCGGGCACTGAACCGAAC